GTCGACAGGAGATGGCTTTTCCAGCTTGGGTACCCATACCAAGTTACCTGTACCAAGTCAGTAGGCATCAGTTCCTTTTTTTTTTTTTTTTTTTTATTTTTTTTTGTGTGTGTGTGTGTGTGTGTGGCCAGCTCAGCCCACCAGGGGGGCGGGGCTGGCTGGCATGTGGTGCTGGGGGATTGAACCGCGTTCCCTGTGCTTTGCTAAACTTGTTCTAAATAGGTGCTTTAGACCACTGAGCCATTTCACCAGCCCATCAGTTCCTTTTTAACAAGTCCACTTAAGCACTTATGCTCAGAATCCCCCACCCCCCCACCCCAACAGGGGATTGAACTCAGGCCCTTGCACTTGCCAGGGAAGCACTTACTCTACTGAGCCATCTCCCCAGCCCTCTGCTCAGAATTGGAAAGCACTTTCCCTTTTCCCATTCATTAATGCAGTTTTAAAACGGGGTAGCAAATCATTGGGAAGCATACTGCTGGGTCCCAGCCCTGTCTTCTCAGTTTTGTTTTGTTTTTTTGTTTGTTTGTTTGTTTGTTTAATTTTGCAGTACCGGAATTGAACTCAGGACCTCGCGCTTGCCAGGCAATCTTCTCAGTTCTTTACCCTTTTTCATGCTCATTAAGAAATAGCTCCCGGCCAATGTGCAAGAGAGACACTTTAAATCTTCACTTTGGCAAGTCCACATCACTAGCATCTCTACTCTTAATGCTTCAGGCTATTAGGTAAATAAAATAAGAGTTGCTGTGTATGCCGGGGAGATGGCTCAGTGGAATAAGTGCTTCCCTGGCAAGCGCAAGGGCCTGAGTTCAATCCCCGGTTCCGGGGGGGAAAAAAAAACAAAAAACATAATTTGGGGCTGGAGAGATGGCTCAGTGGTCTAAAGCACCTACTTGGAACAAGCTTGACAAAGCACAGGGACCGCGGTTCAATCCCCCAGCACCACATGCCAGCCAGCCCCGCCCCCAGGTGGGCTGAGCTGGCCACACACACACACACACACACACACACACACACACACTAAAGGAATAAATAAATAATTTTTAAAAAAAAAAAAAAAAAAAGAGTTGCTGTGTAGTTTCTGTCCTCTGATTGGACCCAGGCTTATACAGAGTTTGGACAAAAATTTGCTCTTTCACTTCTACCATGGATTCTGTCCTCTTGCATAGAACATACATTTTTCCAATGTTCTCAGGCATGCCACAAGACAGGTGATTCTGTCCTTGGGTGTGAGCAGAATAGAGGTAATATCACAATTACTATGACTGGAGTAGGAAAAGTCAAAGCTCTCTAGGTGTTTATGTTGACCTTTGGCCTCCAACTTGTCTTAATCTATAATAAAAATGATGCTTTAGTTAAAAAAAAAGAAAAAGAAAGGAAATAGCTCCCTGGGGCATGCTGGCATCACCCCTGGGGTGAGCTGAGACTGGGAAAGGTCGCACAGGCCTATGAGCCCAGTACTTGAGAGGCTGAAAACAGGAGGATCACTACAAGTCCAAGCTGCATAGTGAGACCCTGTACAAAATACATTTGTTTTTGTTTTTGGTGCCAAGGACCGAACCCAGGGCTTCCAGCTTGCTAGGCAAGCATTCTACCGCTGAGCCAAATCCCCAGCCCCAAAATACATTTTAAAAAACAAACGAAACAAAAAGAAACTGTGCTGATTAAACCCCCGCCCCCCATAACTGCTCAGCTGATCCCAGCCCGGTGACCCTGTTGCTCTTGTCCCTGCAGGCATAGAGTGCCAAGCCAACCAGGCATCCGCAACGTCAGAAGAATGCACCGTGGCCTGGGGAGTCTGTAATGTAAGTTTACCAGTATGAAATAGCTAGGGAGGAAGTGACCAGCCTGCCTTTCCCCCAAATACACTACAAGCACCACAAAGATTTCTCAGCATCTTACTGTCCCTGGAGTTGGGAGACAGCACGTGGGTATTGTGGAGGGGCCCAGGCTGTGCTGTTGGCTGGGCCCAGTTATGGGACCTGGGCTTTGCTCTGAGGTTGGCTCTGGGGGCAACCTGGTTGCCAGCATAGCCCCCCTCTTCTGAGCAGACACCCCCAGGGGGCAAGTGTCTGTGGGCTGAGTCAGGTAGGTAGAGGGCTTGCATCTGCTCGTTCTAAGTGTGGCTGGTGTAGTGAGTGGGGTGTGTTAAGTAAGCTCTTGCCAGAAATGCTTTATGCAACATCATTGGACTGAGTGTTCAGTCCTGCAGGATGTGACAGCTGTGAAGGATAATAAACATCAAAAATGTTATTTCTAGCATGTGTTAAAAATTCATCCTCACAGGCCCAGTCATCCAGACCCAGGCGCTAAAATTGTCCTGTTTGGGACTCCTGTGCCAAGAGGACAGAGGACCCACAGCTCCCAGCACAACAGAGGGCCTGGCTGAGCACATTAACCCAGGGCATTTAACCACTCTACCCTTCCCTCATGCAAGCCTGTAATCCCAGCTACTCTGGAGATTGAAGCAGGAGGATCGCTAGTTTGAAGCCAGCTTGGGCAGCCTAACAAGACTCCGGCTGGGTATGGTGGCCTGTCTGTAATCCCAGCATTCTCGGAGGCTGAAACAGGAGGATCCTTGCAAGTTCAAGACCAGTCTAGGCTACAAAATGAGTTCAAGGCCAGGCTTAACTGCATAGGAGCCTCTGTCTCAAAAAGACAAAACAAAACCACAAGACTGTCTCAAAATAGAAAGGGGAGGGGACATAGCTTGGTGCTAGAGCACTATACTCAAATTCGCTAGGTCCTGGGTTAGATCCCTGGTGTCCCCCACCCCCCACCAGGTGGCTTAAGCGGGGATGACTAAAATTGCTCCTGTGGGTGGTCAGCAGAATGTGGTATCATCAAAGTAAATACAGATTTAGGCCGAGGTCCCACCCCCCAGAATTGAGGGTCGCTTCCCTGCCAGTGCCTGGAGTACACCATCCTCATTTATCGGGGCCCATGTGGGTCACGGGATGCCTTATGTGACGAGCCCTGCTTCCGAGCTTCCACACCAGCTCCCAAGTGAGGCAAGTTGCCTCGGTTTCCTGCCTGTGCAGCACAGATAGTAGTATCAGGCCTGCCTGCTTGCTGGGTTGCCGTGGGTCTGGGTGCGGCCCCCAATGTCAGCATCTCTATAGACCAGTGACTCTGTAAATGGACCCCTGTGAGCCTTGTGTGCCTGATGTGTCCCCCTCTTGTGACTTGAAGTGTGAACATGAGAGCACTGGGCCTAGAGAGGCTCAGCAGCACCGTGTCTTGTGTGTCAGGAGCTGGAGCAGAGTGCCTGGCAGGGAGGCAAAAGGTGGAGATGGGTGTCGTGAAAGGGCCTGTCCCCAAAACCTGGGGGCTGACAAAAATAACTTCCTTTGCTGCCTATAGGAAATGGGTTTTTTTCCCCCTGATGAGTTGTGAGAGTCAGCAGACATGTGGCCTTCCAGTTGTCACTCTAAAGAGTCCAGAGTTGACTTGATGGGAGTCCATAGCATATCAACTGTAGATACTGTTTTTGTTTTGTTTTGTCAATTTTTTGGTAGTAGGCCTGAACCCACACCTGCCCTCTGAGCCACAGCCCAAACTACTTTATTTATTTATTTATTTATTTATATATTTATTTTTTAAAGATTATTTATTTATTTATTTTGTGTGTGTGTGTGTGTGTGTGTGGCCAGCTCAGCCCACCAGGGGGCGGGGCTGGCTGGCATGTGGTGCTGGGGGATTGAACCGTGGTCTCTGTGTTTTGCTTAGCTCAGCTTGTTCTAAGTAGGTGCCTTAGACCACTGAGCCATCTCACCAGCCCCCAAACCACTTTATAAATTTAAAGTTTTAAGGTCTAAGTTGCCCACGCCATGCTTACACTTGTCTGTTCTCCTGCCTCAGCCTCCCAGATGGCTGGCATTACAGGTTAGAAGCCACCTCGCCCAGCTAGATTTTACTCTGAATTACAGAATTAACTTTTTTTGTTGCTAAAAGTCAGTTTGCAAGATAATAACCCAGGGGCCAGGGAGATGGCTCAGTGGAATAAGCACTTCCCTGGCAATTGCAAGGGTCTGAATTCAATCCCTGGTTCTGCCAAAAAAAAAAAAATAAATAATAATAATAATAATAATAATAATAATAACCCATAATGTCTGAGTCCTGAAGTTGCATGCCTGTTTTGGGAGAAACACTAACTTGATGTCAGGGCTATTGTTGGACCAAGCCTGTGTGAGCATTCCTTGTTCTGTGGATGGCTGTTTCCACCTGAGCCTGACTGCAGCCCCTCAGTCATTGTGAGGGGAATCCTTGCTGCTTTTCTTAATACTCTGCTCACCAGAGCAGCCAGCAGTGGGACAAGTGTTGATTTTGAGGCTGCAACTATGCCCATCTGCAGCCACCCAGACCTGTACCTGGCTTTTCCTGTCCTCAGATTCGAGCCACCTCTTTACCCTGTCCTTGCCCCCTTGGTTGGGCATTTTGCTTTCTGCCTTTCCTTATTGATCAGAAAAATCACCTATTGATACCTTTTAGCTGTTTCTGTGCAGTTTATTGCCCAAAATCCTTTCACCCCAATTTTTCTTTCTTTAGGACAGAGCACCCATCAAAGGCCTGTTGGTGCTGGGCGCTCGAGACATCTGGGTGCAGGCAGTGATGGTAGTGCACTGCCCTGGAAAGGGCTGAGTGGAGGCTCTGTTTCTGGGGGCCTAATTTCTCACAGTGACAGGGAGATACGTGAAGTCCCATGTGGTCAGGGCCTTCTCCTCCACACTTGATCTTAGCCAAAAGGCCAAGAAGCGATGGGGCCTCCTCCTCCAAAGGAGTGGGTGCAGCTCCTTTCAGGCCAAGTACGGCGAAAGCCATGCATGTTTGTGTCAACACAAAGGAGCTCACTGCTGGGGTTCACACTGCTCAAGTGACATTTTCAACCCATGTGTCTGTTAGAGATGTCCTGTGCCTACCAAAGACAGCACCATGTTATGCAGTGAGCCTCTGTTTGTCAGTCCCCAGGAAGTGTGGGCAGCAAGGTGTGCAGGCCAAAGTGAGATTGTGTTTAATCATAGGTCTTTTTCTTTCAGCATGCCTTCCATTTTCATTGTATCTCTCGCTGGCTGAAAACACGGCAAGTGTGTCCGTTGGACAACAGAGAATGGGAATTCCAAAAGTAGGTGTCCCCACTCTGGGGTGGGCTTGGGCATGAGGTTATTGGAACAGTGACCCATTTATGGAATATGCAGAGAGAATTAGCTAGCATTAAAAGTTTACAGCCTGTGTTTTCCCAGCCTTCTAGCATCTGTGAAAACAACATACGGAAATCTGCAAACTCAAATGTTTCCAGAGTGACTTTCCCCAAGGAGGCTCCCTGGGCCACGGATGTCATAGACATGTGCCATTGCATCACATGCTCCTTTCCGCTGAGAAAGTGCATGTGGCCATCTTTGTGAGACTCTTACCATGTGAAGCATGCGGGGCCATGCATACCTAGTACACACCTTTCCAAGGGTCCGCTACAAAACCAGCCACTCTCGCTAGACCTTGGCCATGAAGTGCAGCAACAGCTTCTGGTAGCTTTTCTGCCAGTCTTCTATTAACACAAGTGGGAGCACGCTGTACCTTGGTTCCCCTGGTTTTTCTCGTGAGGTACTATTTCACCTCCCACATAATAAACTCCTCTTTCCAGAGGTCAGTTTCTCTCTTAGATGCACCATAGCTCCTTGGGTTTTTGAGGCAGGGTCTCACTATGTAGTACAGGGTGGGTTGGAACCCACATGGATCCTCCTAGAGCTGGGATTAGAGCTGTGCACTGCCACCCTGGCTTTTGATCAGTCTCTGCTGATGGACTTAGGGCGTGTCACCAGGAAAGAGTATGTCAAGCTAGGGGTGGCTGAGCTAAGTCAGGGCTGCTTCCGTCTCATGCTTGGTGCATGCTGTGCTCACGTCCATCTTTTCAGAGTCCTGCTTAAGGTCATGCCTATGTTCAAGCAGGTTTTATTTAGCTCAGCTGAGAATCTATCTTGAGTGTGGTGGCTCAGCCCTGTGATCCCTACACTTGGAAGGCTAAGGCCAGAGGATCACAGTGAGTTCAAGTCTAGCCTGAACTACAGAGCAAGACCCTGTCACATAGGAGCCTGGCATGGAATTAATGACATAACTTGCTTGTCTTGCAGGTATGGACACTAGAAGAATTCTGCCAGCATAACTGTCACTCACTAAGTGACCTGCCTCCTGTTGTCATAGGTTAGATAGGCCTCTGTCCTGCCCCTCGTCTTTCCAGTTTGTTCTCCCCTGGCCATGGTTGTACCCATGTCAAATAAAGTTCCATTGGGTTCTAAAGTGGACGCTGTCTCTTGTGTTTGCAACAGAAGCTGACAGACAAGGGGTCTCCTTACAAGGAAGAAAGCACACATTGTGAAACAAGCCATCCATGAGGTGGGGGCCCGGTTTAAAGTGAACCATTCCAGGCTGGAGCCAGAGCACTTGTCCCAGGGTGTGTGCCAGGAAGGGAGCATGTACCCGGCAGGGGGTGTGGATCCAGGGACCAGGCAGCTTCCAGTAGGACAGCAGAAAGCGCCAAGTGAGGGGCTGCAGACCTGGTTTGGCCCCACTACTCCACCTCTCAGCAGCTCCTGGGCACTAGCTCTGCCTGGACCCCCCTGCTGCCCAGGCCCCTGAGGGCCACAGAGCAGGAGGTGGCCTGGGCAACATAGCAACTTTTTTTTTTTTTTTTTTGTGGAACCGGGGATTGAACTCAGGCTCTTGCACTTGGCCAGGGCAGTGCTGATTCTACTGAGCCATCCCCCTGGCCCAACATAGCAACATTCTAGTGAGAAATAAACCCAGTAGTTTTGGAGCTGAGGCTGTAGCTATGATAAAGTCCTAGCATGGGCAGAGCCCTAGGTTTATTTAATCCCTAGAGCCACCAAAAAAAGCCCCCAAGACTGATGGCATTTTGGGTTGAATTACTGAGCTTGGTTCCTTCACTACCACCTGAATTTCCAGTTGTGATACTAATGATACAGCTACAGGTTTTCTTGCAGGGAGAGCTTTTTTGGCTTGTGGTGTTTTTGAGGCAGGATTTCACAACATAGTTAAGTGTAGTCTGCCCAAAGCTTCACCAGTGCTGCTGGGATTACAGATGTGCGCCACCATGCCCAGCTTGCATAGACCCTTACTGAGAAGCAGCACGGTTTCGCCCCATGCTCCTCGGAGCCTGAGGTTCCAGTGGTTCCCACTTCCCTCTGAGGTCCATACATTTCCCCTCTAGCCGGCCTGTGAGACTTGAGTCAGTCAGACCAAGCCTGGAACAGTGCCATCTGGAGAATCCACTGCCTTCTGCTAAGTCAGCCGTAAAAGAGATTTGCAAAATGAATGCTACTTTTTAAAAATCCGGCCATATGTGAGCTACCTGTTTATTTGAAACCATTTCTTTCTTTTTTGCAGAATCGGGGATTGAACTCAGGCCCTTGCGCTTGCCAGGCAAGTTCTTATTCCACTGAGCCATCTCCCCGGCCCCCTGAAAGCATTTTTTAAAATTTCTCAGTTTAAACCAGGTGTAGGGGGCCGGGGAGATGGCTCAGTGGAATAAGCATTTGCCTGGCAAGCACAAGAGCCTGAGTTCAATCCCCGGTTCCACCAAAAAAAACAGGTGTAGTGGTTCATGCTTGTAATCCCAGCACTTGCCAAGAGAATTGCAGAGAGTTTGAGGCCTACTGGTCTACAAAGTGAGTTCAAGGCCAACCTGAACTGCACAGTGAAACCCTATAAAAAAATAAAAATAGGGGCTGGGGAGATAGCTCAGTAGAATAAGCACTTGCCTGGCAAGCGCAAGGCCCCAAGTACAATCCCCAGTTCCACCAAAAAATAAATAAAAATAATTTTTCCGTTTGATTTGCATATGGTATCTGTAGATACATCCCACATGGAAACTCTGGAGTTCTCAATTTTAGTATTACACAAAGCCAGGTGCACTGGTTTGTGCCCATATCCCAGCACTCTGGTGAGGCAGAAGATATGCAAAGGGTTTGAGGCCACCCCAGAATATACAGCAAGACCTTGTTTCAAAAAAGAGAAACAGGCTTTGCAGACGCCTCTGTCCTTCCTCTTAGTCGTTTGTTGCCAACCATGGTCGATGCCACCATGTTCTTCGATATCACTGCCGACGGCGAGCCCTTGGGCCGCGTCTCTTTCGAGCTGTTTGCAGACAAAGTTCCAAAGACGGCAGAAAACTTTCGTGCTCTGAGCACTGGAGAGAAAGGATTTGGTTATAAGGGTTCCTGCTTTCACAGAATTATTCCAGGATTTATGTGCCAGGGTGGTGACTTCACGTGCCACAATGGCACTGGTGGCAAGTCCATCTACGGGGAGAAATTCGATGATGAGAACTTCATCCTGAAGCACACAGGCCCGGGCATCTTGTCCATGGCAAGTGCTGGGCCAAACACAAACGGGTCCCAGTTTTTCATCTGCACTGCCAAGACTGAGTGGCTGGATGGCAAGCACGTGGTCTTCGGGAAGGTGAAAGAGGGCACGAACACGGTGGAGGCCATAGAGCGCTTCGGGTCCAGGAACGGCAAGACCAGCAAGATGATCACCATCACCGACTGTGGACAGCTCTAACGCGTGTGACTTGTGTGTGTTGCCACCGCCAGACCAGACCATTCCTCTAGCTCAGGAGAGCACCCTACGCCCTCCCTGCTCAAGACGCCCCATCATCTCTGCTCTTCTTGCAGTTCTTTGGGTTCCATGTTTTCCTTGCTCCCCTCCAAATGTACCTGGATTGCAGAGTTAAGTTTATGGTTATGAATAAAGCTAAATAATGGTTAAAAAAAAAAAAGAGAGAGAGAGAGAAACAGGGTGGGAAGACAGCTAAGTGGTCTAGAACGAGTTTGATCCCTGATGCCACCTACTGTGCTGGCCCTGCACCAAGCCAGCCACTAAAACCAGGCCTGGTGGCATACCTGTAATCCCAGCGCTGAGGAGGCTGAGGCGGGAGGATCACTGCAAGTCAGAGCTGGGTAGTGAGACCCTGTACCAAATGAGTAAAAGGGGCTTTGCCTAGTAGCTCAGTTGTTTAAAGCACTGCTTGGGTAAATGCAGGCAGGCGCCCAGGACCACAGAACAACGATTCCCAGCTCCAGAAGCTGTACCAGACCTGCCCAAAAAGTCCTCCTCAAATTGTGGGGCCGGGGAGATAGCTCAGTAGGATAAGCACTTGCCTGGCAAATGCAGGGTCCTGAGTTCAATCCCTGGTACTGCCAGAAAAAAAAAGTAAAAGATTGAAAAAAATTTATAAAAAACAGCATGTAGCTCTGAATTCCATTCCCAGTATCATAAATAGATACTTGGGGTGCTGAAGCTGGAAATTACAAGACTTAGCTTACTAATGAGAAACAGGAAAGTGTACCCAAGCTAAAAGCCAGCCTGGGGCTGGGGAGATAGCTCAGTAGAATAAGCGCCTGCCTGGCCAGCACAGGGTCCTGAGTTCAATCCCAGTACCGCAAAAACCAGCCTGCCCGCTCTGCAGTGCCTGTTCAGGTAAGCATCCTATGCAGGTGGCTGGTATTTGAGGGCACCACCCTCACCACAAATCCTTGGTCAGGCCCTGGCCTGTGTTCCCACAGCAGGAATAATAGTCCTCATCAGGTAAGGACTGCAGAGAGTGGGGCATTCATGTTATCCAGGATTCTTTGGTGCAGGGTGCGGAAATCCAGTTTCTGCAGCACAAAAGGGAAAGTTCTTGCAGGGCCCCAGTTCTCCATGGAGCTGAGGCAGGCAGATTGATCATAAGGTTGACCCCGGTCTGGGCAGCTTACAGAGATGGTGCTGTCTCCAAAAAGGGCCAGAGATGAGGCTTTGTGGAAAGGCCCTGCGTTTATTCCCTGGCAAATCAGTCATTCCACTAAAGCAAGCCCAGCTTTCTCTGCACAACTGCCTGCCCAGGATGGTGACCCCAGCAGAGGGCTTATCCTCACTAGTGCCCTTCTCATCTCCCCATTTGTTCCTGGGCCAGACCTTTGCTTTCAACCAAAGTCCACTGCCAGGCCCCTCCTCCCTACACCTGTCCCATCTCCTGCCAACGCACCTGATCCACTGCTGTCCAGAGTCCCCAGAGTTGCTTGCCACTCCCCTGCCCTCTACCTCCTGCACGCGCCCTTACTCCACAGGTTCCTAAGCTTGGGCTCCTCTACAGAACAAGGTCAAGAACAAAGCTGGCCCCCCTGGGCCAGGCGAGGTGGCATGACTGTAATTCCAGCCCTTGGGAGGCCAAGGAGGGAGAATGTCTGTGAGTTCAAGGCCAGCCTGGGATACATGGCCTCCACACACAAAAGTGGTAACCTAGAAACCACTGAGACTGTGAGTAGCGTGAAATTGGACTGCTGCTGCAAGGAACAGAACAAGGCTGAGAATCAAGGACTGGAGAGGAAAGGGCCAGCAAGGCTGCAAGACTGGATTAGGGTGGTGGGGGTTTGTCCAAATAGGTCATTTTTTAAAGAGGGCTTTTTCTGTATGCTTGATTTTTTTTCTTTTTTTATTTTAGGGAAGGGTCTACAGGGTGTTCAGGGTCTCAGTACTAGATCAGACTCGTAGTGATCCACCTGTTTACAGCCTCCCAAGAGCTGGGATTACAGGGGCGCACCACTACCCCAGTCTCAACTGCCATTTCAGTGCACCCCAGGGGCAGGGCCTGCATGAGCAGGCCTTGATTTTGTTTTTGAGACAACATCTCCCTAAGAAGTCAGGCTGACCTTACAGTCTCCCAGGCTGTCCTTGAACTCACAGTTACCCTCATGCCTAAGCCTAGCATGGTGGTGGGAACCCAACACTGGAGCCAAGGAGGCCCTGGTCACCCCAGCTCTCTGCAGAGGGGACGCATTGGCCACTAGACTGACTGTGACAGCCACCAGTGAGGAAGACCTCCATCTGCTATGCTTAGGTGAGACCTCTAAACCTCTGTGTCCCCAAATGAGCTGGCAAAAGCCTGCCCCTAGCTGCCCATTCTCATTAAACAAAATGGAAACTTGTTACTGAGGCCACCTGTCCCCTCTGTTCTCAGCTCAAGTGCCACTCCCTCCCAGGTACATAGAACTCCACCCACCATGGAGGCAGTCTTGCCTGCCTTGTGGCTTTGGTCTGAGACTCCCCTCATCTCCAGTGCTAGCTTCTTTAAATCTCAGAACTTGCCTTAACTGTTGCCTTCCCAAGGAGGACATCCCCGCCACCCTGTTAGAAATATCACCCATTGACTCTAATGTCAACTGGTGTGACAAGCACTGTCTACATGGTTTCAGTAATTTATATAATTACAAATTTACACTCCTCACTGGCTTGGTTGCTTG